CTATGTACTTGCAGGGATGGACATTCGCAGTCTTCAGTTACCGAATGCGGGAATTGTTTAATGGCTTCCCTGACGCCGATACAGGCGGTCTCAGTCTGTCGCATTCCTAGTAACATGTCATGTGTCCCTATTGGCACACAAGCAAGGCAGGGTCGAGACCCGATTCCGGGCCATTGAGGGCGCACTGCTATTTTCAATTCTAAGACTAAATTTGGGTCAGCGCAAGATGTACATGACGAGAATCATATAAGCTTCATAGACAAAGTAACAATACTTTATACGCCAGATACCAAAACCACCTCAACTACAACCCTCGTAGTCATTTGGTCACTCCTGCGATTTGACATGTCTATGCAGGCGGAAACGAAACGAGACACTGTCTGGCCTGGAAGCAGCTCCAGCTCGTCTATTAATTATGCGACAAAATGCCAGAATTTGTCCGTCTCACGTAAATTTGGGTGGGGGAGACATCGTGCGACATGCGAATGCCAAGCTCGTTAGGTTCTAGGAAAACGACGGATTACTTCGGCTAAACTATTGATACATGATTACTCAGTAAATCTTTGTTCAGAACGCTTAGAACACTAAAATATACTGTGCGCTTGAGAGACCCTCCTTGGTGAGGGGAATCGGTGGCAACTCGTTCTGTGACAGAATACGCCTTACCATTCTACCTGACTATTATCGACATTGAAAGAAGTCTAAACTTACCGTCATCATGTCCGCTAACAATGCTCTGACACCCCGTGTATTCCTTTTTCGCCATGGTTAGTCCATTATCTGGTTGTATAATAAACTACTCGTTGACGATGAGTGCCTGGTAGGAGAAACCGAATGGGCCAAATTGGGCCGTTTCACCAGCACTACTGATATCGCCTTGAACCCAACTGGCTCTGCTCAAGTTTCCGGGATGGCTATGATGCTCGTGGGACCGGGAAAACTCCTCGACCCGTGTCGCCTTGAGCGCATCTTTGTCAGTCCAAGGAGAAGAACCAAACAGACCTTTGAGTTATTGCTGGGACCTAAATCAGATTTCGCCGAAGGAAAATATACCTACACCGAGGACATCACGGAGTGGGATTATGGCGATTATGAAGGGCTTAAGGACCACGAAATCAGAATCCTCAGGCAAGAGAGGGGTCACGACAAAGAAAAGAAGTGGGATATCTGGACAGATGGATGTGAGGGTGGAGAGTATGTTAAGCACTACTCTAGATGATGACCTGCTTCTCATTCTATAAAGATCGAGACACCAAGTTGAGGAACGGCTGGACAGGATTATCGTACAAATCAAAGAGATTCAGCAGCCTCATATGCATGGGGAGAAACCTGCTGATGTCCTTGTTGTATGTTCTCACGCCATCATTCCACCATCTGTTCAGTATGCCTGGATTCGTCCATTGCGACTAACAAATGATCACTACAGGTTGCACATGGCCTCATCCTTCGCTGTTTTACGAAGCGGTGGATCGGCTTATCGATTATTAATCCGCTGCCCATCATGCTCGAACCTGGGGCGATCTCTGTTTTGAGGTACGTCTATTAATTAGACTTTTGGTGTCATGGTGTTAACGGTAATCCACTACTTATTTATAGTTACAAAAATAATAACGTTAATGAGCCGGCCTTGCACGTCGGCCTAGCGTTTCCGTTTGAAGGAGATGCAATACCAGCGGGGCATATGGAAAAGATTCCAGCTCTAGATTAAACACCGTGCTGCGTGTCTGCATAGATCTAAGGATGGGGCCGTTATGATGATAGTCTCACGAGACCACTTCTCTGTCTATCAGGGTGCTCAAGAAAACATGCGAATTGGTATGTACATGTTGAACCAAAGTCGACCTCCTTGGATATACTGCATTACCTATGGAATGGAATACAGTATATAGATTAAGTGAGGATAGTAGCTGTTGTAATTACAATGAGCCCTGTGTCACTCATTATAGCAATCTCATCACCAATCTTTAAATGCCGTAGGCCTGCCTGCATGTCGCGATCGGGAGTCATAGTCCGATGTGAGCCTGGTCGCTATCGAACTTGGCCAAAAGCTTTGCTTAGGCATCTGTAGCATTGGCTTTGGCAGCGAGCCCACGTCCTGCTCTGCATGAATAAAGCTGCCCGTGTCGCTTTGTCGCACACCCGCCAGTATGCTGCGTGCGCCCTGTGAGAGGTGGTGGGGAGGACCCTCTCTGCCACATTAATTCCGGGAACACCACAACTGAAGCGAATTCAGCCGCAATTCCAAGCCACCACATCAATGATAAAACATTCTTAGTAGATAGAATTGTGGATAAAGAGCACTTCCACTAATTTTAAAGTTATTAGATATCACTTCTTCATAATCTGGTTGAGTATCCGCTGTTATCGTTGCTACCCTCCATGCCGCTTATGCTACCGGAAAAAACGTGTCGGTCAAGTCCTAGCAACGCTGCTACGCTTTAGCATTTCTTTACTGTTAGAAATCGAAGGAAGATTCATTGCGTATAGTTGGGCCCACTTGATTCTCTTGGCCGGTTTTTTTCCATCGTTTAAGAAAGAAATAGATGGATAAGACTTCGAATTTTAATCCGATCTATTACGTGAGCGGCAAAAAACCGGCCAGGAGTACCGTTATGTGGCATCCGCAGGGGCGGACTTGCCATTGTAGTGCCTCATGAACCTATACTAGTCCAAGCACACTAGCCCGGGGTAGAACCGCTCTTGGCAACATCCTGCTGCCTAGAGCGGCTTTGAGGAGCTCACATTGCGCCGCAGCTTCTCCTTCTCCTCCTTTAGTCAAATCATGCCTACAACACAACCATCTTTCCATGCTGTTGCGCGGCAGCAATGGCCTGTAAGTGCTACCTTATGCAACTACCAATACAGATTCTTACGACGGACTCAGGCTCTATATGCAAAACTCGCCTTATTTTATGAAATAATATTCACTTCTTCTGATTTACACGATCGCCTTAATATCCTTGAGCAGAAAGTCATGGTAGACCCGCAAGCTCTGTCGATTGAGACATTATTGGGTCAATTAGAGGTATTATCTACATCATCATCATCATCATCATCATCATCATCACCAGCACCAGCACCAGCACCAGCACCAGCACCAGCACCAGCACCAGCACCAGCACCAGCACCAGCACCAGCACCAGCACCAGCACCAGCACCA